TAATTTAAATCTTGAAGGACATATAAGGGTGCTGTGAGACCCCACTTGCATGAGAGAGAGTCGTTGTCGATTCTGTACTAGAACCCTAACGGAGAACGGAGTCTCCACTCTCTTGGTTGCAGCCGGACTATTTGCCTTTGTCGCCAATTCTCCGCCATTTGTTGTCATTGCTGTCGAGGAGTTGCCACTTTGTTGTCTCTTATATTGTCCAATTCTTCGGATAACTTCTTCCTCAGTTCATGTAAGTGACCTTAAGATGTTAAGAAACTTGGAGAAGAAAAGAAAGGACAAATGAGAATAGAAAACAAACAAACAAAAGTATGGGGACAATTTCATTATGGTAAACATTGTAGAAAGAACTTTGGAGTATTTGATTCCTAAGATACTCGTACAAAGAAAATCATATGAAAATCCCATAATCAGAAATTTAGATATGATACCTATTCTGATTTCTCATTCTTCTATTAGTGTAAGCTTCTATAGTTAATTACATTATAAGCAGTTAAGACAACTTAAGAAAATTTCTGATTAATGTTAACATTTGTTCTAAAAAATTTTAAGTGTTGTTTAAGATTAACATGTTTAAAAATTCAATAACACTTAAAAGTTTGTTTATTTGCATTTTTGTCGTTGTTGTGTTGTTTTGTTTTATCGTTTTGTAGTGTCGTTTTGTATGATTGTTTTGTTTTGTTGTTTTGTTTTGTTGTTTTGTCGTTTTCTCAAAAGTTTTGAGTTACACCATTTCAGGCTTTAAAATGTCGTTCCTGTAAAACAGAGTTAACACACTCTAATAATATGTAAAGTAAATCTAAAACGCAGCTCGCCTTATGTCTTCAGCAGTCCTGCAAAACAAAGTCAGTACAAAATTATATTTTTAATTTGTTGAATTTTTAATTTTTAGACAACCTGGTCAAGATGTCTATGACTCCTTCGTCCTGGGTCGTCAGGATTTTCGAATCTACTTAGCCTGAAAGGTGGTTAAACCAGAATCGAAAGATTCTTGTTAGCAACCACAAATTGTGTCGTCCAAGAGATCTTTGTTGGTCCGAACACGGGTTCAAGTTGCGTTCGGTGACCTTTGTTCATTAGGGTTTCATTTAAGTTTTAATGTCTTTTTCGGATTTTAGGGGTTGAAAAATTTTAGGTTGTTTACGATTTATTAACCGATTTAGCTTTGTCATTTTTATGTTTTATTTTTGTTGTTTGGAATGATCCTATTAAGATCTCATAGTTTCGTCTTTTTGGATCATTAAAATTTACGGTTTTGATTAATCACAAGTGACTAGAGAATACTTTTTTAGCAGCCATGAGTTATCTTCTCCAAAATATCCTCTCATACCAGGTTGTATTTTTGGTAAGTTTAAGTATCTTTTAGGGTAAATTTTATATTGGTTGATTTAAGGTTTGAATTTTATATCGGTTGGTTTAAACTAAGTTTGATTTTTTGTCCTAATTGTTCTTAACTGAGGTTAAGCGAGCTTTTTATCCTCATATGAAGAAACAAAACCCTGCTTATCCTTAGTCATATTTAGATTAAGTTGTGTTGGATTAAACTAACCTAAAGTAAGATTCTAATTAACTTAGATTAGGTTGAGTCAACTTAAAAGTTTAGTTGATTTGGATCTAACTCGAGTTAAGTCAGATAGACTTGGCTGATTAGACTTGAGTTATATCTAGATTAAGCTCGACATTACGGTCTATGTTCAATCTAAGTTGAACCTAAAAATGTTGATTAAGTCTAATGTAGGTTAAACTTTAGGGTTTAGGTTCAATGTAGGTTGAATCTAAAATTTATGTGAATTAGGTTCAAGTTAGGTTAAACCTAAGGATTAGGTTGTTTTAGGTTGACTTAGGTTCAAGTTGGGTTGAACCTAGTGTTTTGATTGACTTAGGTTCAAATTGGGTTGAACCTAAAGATGGCCTACAGGCTTGTAAGAACAGGCTATTAATTATTCAAACTATGATATTCTTTTGAAGAACATCATTTTATGTTGGTTAATGGAAACTTTTGTTAATTATTATTGAATGAGTGTGTTTCTTATTTTGTATTTGCATTTTTGTCACCTTTTTCAAAACAAATTTTTTAATGATGATGGCATTGTTTGTTCATTCAACTCCAATATGTTATTAGTCCTCAACTGAAGCTTTTTTTATGATTGTGCTTTTTAATTTTGATTATTAAGGCGTTACCTAATAATCATAAGGGCTTTTGACATGGGCAAGTTTCGTTACTTATAAAAAGTGGGAAGTGGGGCTAAGGGAACCTCTTCAACTATTAGGTTGATGTGGGAAATACATTTCTAAGCATTTGGACTTAGAGCTTACATGCTCTGAAGTCGTACCTTTCATAAGTCGTTAAAGGTGACTCTCTTACCCTTTTGAAAATATGGTGTCACCCTTACATGCACATACTAACATTCGTTTACATTTAAATAAAAAGCTTTAATGTTATCTATATAGTATTGATATTTAATGAAAACTAATTAATTTATTCTCAAATAATGTATATTAATAGTTGTAATATAGTATGCATTAGATAATGATTTTAGAAATTGTTTTACTGAAATAGTTGTAATGTATTAAATACATTTAATATTTTATGTACCTAAATTTTATAAATGTAATATGTTTATGCTTCATAAATTGTTTTACTGGAATAGTTGTAATGTATTAAATACATTCAATATTTTATCTACCTAAATTTTATCAATGTAATGCGTGCGCGTACGCGTGTGTGCGGGCGGGCAAGTGGGCGCGTTTTTGTGGAATATTATATTTGCATATATATGTATGTATATCTATATATATGTATATATATATATATATATGTGTGTGTGTGTGTGTGTGTGCGCGTGCGGATGTTTACATACATAGCATCCGAAACATTCCTATTTGCAAATAAAGCACCCACCCTTTTTCATCCATTTTTCAAATTCTCACTCCAATATCAAAATTGATGATAAAACTTTAATCCATATTTATCAATTTTAACAAATTCTCAACGGCTTGATCGTGGGACGCGTAAATACATCGGTTTGGTAGTTCAAAATGGATGAAGAATGGAACGAGATAAAAGCCAGTTATTATTGTTGATTTAAATTTAAATAAATTTCTACTAGGAAGAGGAATGCGTTTCTAGATGCCACATGGAAAGCAGTAAGAGGAAATTGTTATTATCAATGAATAAGAAAGGTATGTGAAAAGAAGGCAATAAATTAGAAGGTTTATTAATTTCTCCTTATTAGAAGTGGTTAAAACATGGTATGTTGGCAGGAGTTTGACTATGTTTCTTATTATGTATAACATGACATCATAATGGCCGGATAATTTCTATCTTTTTTCTATGAGAAATTTTGAAATATTTGTTTGAAGGAAGACATCTCTATAGAAAATTATATTGAACATAATTATGGAAGGACCATTAATTTATCTTAAAATGTAAAGTGGAATATGTTTTGAAAAGAATGAAAGAAGTTAAAGGTTAGGCCTGGATGTGTGATACTTATTGAGATTTAGAAAGTTTTCAGAGATTTGGGGCAATATTTTCAATAAATCATTCAATTAAAATACTAAACTTTAAGCATGCTTGATAATTGTAGAATTAATATTGCAGTATTAATAGTTTGAGGAAGTAAGTTGCTTAAATTATTGTAGTTATAATGTAATCAAAATTAAAAACACTAATGAAATTATTATAGAACTAATGGAAAATATTGTATGAGAAATTATGTTGGTATTTGATTATCATGCTGGCTAATTGCTAGAAATAACTAGTATTGCGGCAATGTTTTTGCTTTAAGATAGATTTTAAAGAGAAGCAAAATAAACGAAATTTACATAGTTTTTATTAATCTAAAAAACTTAGTACTATAGTATTACAAGAATACATTTTATGGGACATAAGGAAAAATCATATATGTTGAATATACGTTGGGGTTATTAAAGTATGCATGTTAAAAGGGTGTTGATATTAGAAGTAATTACATTGTGTCCAAATGGTTTTCATCCACAATAATTTCACATAACTGTGCATTTTCCATTTTAACGTTTTGTATCAATTTTATTGATGGTAGGCACATACTCAAGATTTGGTAATATGCTATTTTGTGAATTATGTAGTTTTTATTGTTGAGTTATTTTTCATAATAAGTGTTGGCTAGAATCATGGAGAAAATGTTTTGAAGATAAGGTCTTATGATTAGTAAAACAACGACTTAAGTTTATGCTATGCAATACTAATTATAGAGGGTCAATTTATGTGATTTAAAGTGTTTCCATATGTTTAATCGGCTGTATAAATTAATTAGGACACAATTGAGGAAGCGCTTTAGGAGGATCATGTAATATGAAGGTATATCAAGGCTTCAAAAGAGAATTTAAAAAGTCTCAATTAGATAAATTGTGTCATATGAATTTGAATTTTTGGTAACAAAATCATTGGCAACCAAGTTGATTGGAAGAATGAAATTGTAAATGGACATAAGATATAACTTCGACAGAATATGTGATGGTTATACTATAGAGATAGTGGAAGCAATTTTTATTAAAGATAGGTTTGTGAAAATAAACTTCTTTAAATATCTCACCAATCTAGCAAGTCTATTGAGTCAATGTGGAAGGTATTAGGAAGTAACAAGAGTAGAAAGCTTCATTTGGGAATTGCTTTCAACTTGTTTACTATTTAGAAACTTGGCATCTTATGTGCACCTTGGAAAAGCTACTAGGTTATCTCACAATAGGAGAGACTTTATTTTCTATCAAATAGTATGTGTAGAGGTTGTTAACTAAGTTCAACTCATAGTATCACCGAATAGGGGATGAACTCATAGTTAGGATTCAAAAACTCAAAGGCTGACTCAAACAGGTGTTGGGTAAGACTATTTTAGATATTTACATTTGTCAATTATTATTTTATTACATTTCAAAATTGAATAATTTACTTTATCAAATAGTTCCAGCTTTCATATTGAAAAAACCACATTTTTTATTTCCTATCTCAGAGAGATTAGATCAAGAAGATGGTGCCATTCTGACAACAATTTGCAATCACTCGTTTCATTGTTCTTGTATATCAAAATGGACCGACTCTTCTTGTCCGGTAAGTCATTTAATATGATCATATTTTTGCAATTTGAAAATTATATTTCTTTTAATAATTTATTATTAAGATTTCACGTAAATTTCAAAGACTATTATTAAATAAAATAGGACATGATTTTTGTATTCTGCTTGGTGTGATGGTAACTTTTGCTCTCTTTTCTTAAAATTATCCATTTAGTCATGCTGTGGGAGGGATTGGTATGATTCATTTACTGTACATTTACATCCCTGCCTACTTAACACTATGTGAAAAAACATGCATTATGACATTTTTTCGATCATTGTCTTTTTTACTTTTCAATAAAGAATTAATGATAGAATTGTAAAAGATATAGACTCGCGATTATTTATTTAATTAGGAAATGATCAAAATGTTCAATAGACAATTTAGTTATGTTCTTTTTTTCTAAACTTTTTCTGGTGTCCAATATAGTCACATCTTATTAAAACAAAATCTCTTTGTTTTGTCTATTATCTCAACTATCTAAAATTGCTGGACATTGCATGAAAAACAAATGTTGATGGTACTACCAACTTTTTATTATTCTACACGAGTCAATTTACTATGTAATGATTATTCAACAACTAGCTCTATTGAGTATGATTTGTTGATGCATAGGGCTTGATTATGGTGTTCTAAAATAAGGAAGGAGCATATTAGCATAATACGACTTATCCAATAAGTTATTCACAACTAAACAGTGTATATTAAAGTGACCAACATAAGCCCAACCTTCATTTGCATTAATGTGCAACAAGGATATAATAAACTTGTCAAGTTTCTTTCCCATGTTTGTCATTTTTATTCAAATTATTAAAAAGTGTGATCGCTTTAGATATCTTGAATCTATTTTTCAAGGTGATGGTGATATTGATGGGGGATGTTATTAGTAGAATTCAAGTTGGTTGGTTGAAGTGGAGGAATGTTTATGGCCTATTGTGTGATAGAAAAGTACAGCTTAGACTGAAAGGAAAATTTTATAAGATGGTGGTGAGACCTGCAATGCTCTATGACACTGAATGTTGGCCTTTAAAAGAGAAACATAAAATTAAGTTAAGTTTTGTCGAGATGAGAATGATTAGGTGAATGGATTTACACTTCGAGACAAAATGCGAAATGAATTTATTCGTGATAGAGTTGGGGTAGCTCCAGTGATGGACAAAATTAGAGAAAGTTGTCTTAGATGGTTTTGTCACATTGAACGTCGACCATCTGATGATTCGAATGATCCGATTAGGAGAGTAGATGTTTTGGATTCGACTTATGTTAAGAAAGGTAGAGATAGACCTAGAATGATTTGGGCATATTGTAGAAGAAATGATCTTAATTTATTAGAATTAAATGAAAATATAACTATAAATAGGACGCAATGGAGAAAAAGGATTCATGTAGCCGACCCCACTTAGTGGGATACATGTTTTGTTGTTGGTGTTGGTGTGGGTGTGGGTGGGGGTGGGGGTGGGGG